AGTGAAAGAAAGAGTGAGAGAGAGAAAGAGAGAGAGAAAGAAAGCCGCCAGGTCCAGGATTCCAACCATAGTTGCCCATGTGGGACTCCAGCACCCTTAACCACCATGCTACCTACCCAACCCCAGGATCTTGAAACTATGATGCACCGCCTCGCCCCGAGGAACCCCAGATCATGGGTACATGCTTGCCCAGCCTACTGAGGGAGGTCTCTGGACCTGGACCGGGAACCCTTCCATATAGGATTGCCTCACAGAAGGTGGTATTTTACTGCCGTACCACCATCTGCCTCCCTCCTTTTCTTTCTCTCTGTTTTTTTTTTTTTTTTTTTTTTTAGAGGGATTTTTGTTATAGGGAACATGTGCTCTAGGGAACATGTGCTCCCCAGAAATACAGAAAGACAGAAAGCAAGAAATTACCCCCAGGGTAGATGGCCACTCCACAGGCCTTCTCCTCCATTCTCCTCTTGGGATCCTGGGTATGCATGCACACATGCCCAGCGTGAGTTTTTTTTTTAAGTCATAAACAGAGTTTATTCTGGCGTGTTTTAAGTTTCCGGGTCTGGGACTCAAACCACAATCGACTATGTGTGAGTCCAGTGACGTAACCACTACACCTTCTGCTGATCCCTCCCACTTTTCTTACCAGATGCTCCACATCAAGAAGCAGACTGTCCTGAGTGTGGCAGCAGAAGGAGCTAATGTGTGTCGTCATGGGAAACTGTGTTGGCTTCAGGTATGAGATTCTTTTTCTTTTTTTTTTAAGATTTATTTATGCATGTATTTATTTAATTCCAGTTATTATTTTTAATTTGACCAGAGAGAGAGAGAAAGGGAAAGTGAGAAAGCTTGTCACCAGGTCTGGGACTCAAACCACGGTAAGCCATGTGGGAACTCCAGTGCCTTTAACCACCACGCCACCTGCCACCCCCTATTTTTTCGTTTTTAAAGATTTATTTATTCATTTATTTATTTATTTATATTTTTTATTTGACCAGAGATAGAGAGAAAGGAAAAATTAGAAAGTAAGCCATCATGTCTCGTACTCAAACCATGGTCTGCCCTGTGAGAATCCAGCACTTTTAACCACTGGGCCACCTGTTAGCCCCTAGTATTACTTTTTAATGTTTTATCTTGAAATAATTATAGACTCAGTGGTAGATTTTTTTTCTTTTTTTCTTGCCTTTTTTTTTTTTAAACATGGGGTTTCGCTGTACTAACCCTTCTGTAGTAGCCTCCCAGCTGAGACTTCAAGCAAGCCCCACCAAACCAGTCTCTTTTTTTTTTCTTTGATCATTCCTTTCCATGTTGCCCAGACCAGCCTTGGGCTCCCAATCCTCCTGCCTCATTCCCTGTCTGCCTCCCAGTCACTGGGGTTACAGATACACACCATTGTACCTGGCCTGTTAGGTTGGACAGGAAATGGAACCTGGGCCTCCCAGATGGTCCCTTTCTGCAGAACATAGCAGCCTAGCAGTACACCACCATATTGGGCTAGTTAATTTTTTTTTAATTCATTTTCTCCATGAGTGAGAGGTATATATATAGAGAGAACAGTATCCCCACAGGGTCCTGATGCTGTGATCCACCTCCAGCTTTAGCTGCCTGGGATCATGGGTACATACATGCCCAGCGTACTCTAGAGTCTCCAGACGTGAACAGGGCTTGGGACTCGAACCACAAAGTCAGCCATGTGGGATCCAGCTGCCATAACCTCCACTCCACTTTGCCAACCCCACCACTCGCACTTTAAAAATTGTTTTCTTTTTTTTAGAGAGGTTCTTGCTGTAAGGCATGTGCACTGGCCAGAAAGGCAGAGAGAGAGAGACAGAGACAGAAAGTGAGAAATCAGCCCCCAGGGGGCATGGCCACACTGCAATCTCTTCTGCTCCATTCTTCTCAGGATCTTAGACACACACCCACACACACTAGGCATGAGTTTAAGCCTCCAAGCCCAGGACTCAAACTGTGGTTGATTACACAGGAGTCCAGTGACATAGCCATTATACCAACTACTGGTCCTCCCTTTTAAAAATTTTGCTAGGAAAATAAAATTGCTAGAGGCATGTGCGCTCCCTGTAGAGAGACAGAGACAGAGATAGAGAGAGAATGAAAAAGTTCCTCCCCCTCATAGGGAATGGTCATGCCTCAGTCCCTTCTCCTCCACTTCTCCCTTCTTTTAGTATTTTGGGCACACATGCGCAGTTGCCCAGCACGTTTTTCAACAGTCCAGGGTGGGCCTACCTTGCAGAGCATTGTGTTTTACCACTGTGCCTCTGCTACCCTGGTGGGCTTCTTTTTTCCCTTTATTCATGATAGAGCATTTGCATTTGCACATGAGAATGAGAGGAAGAGAGAGAGAGATGAGCACTCTCCGCAGGGGCTGATCATGCAGTAATCCCCCCTTCCAGGCCTCCAGACGGTCAGATCCTGGGCGCTCACACATGTGCCCAGCATGTTTCAAACCGACGAAGTCAGGGACTCCAGCCACCATTGCCATGTGGGATCCAGTTTTCCTTTAGCAGCACATTCCTGCCATGCTATGGAGCCAGCTCCAGTATATTTTTATTTTTAATTTGCCAGAAGGTGTGTGCGCTCACCAGTGAGATACGGAGAGGGAGAGGGAGAAAACACCTCCCAACACAGCACGGTCACACGTCAGTCCTTTCTTGTCCATTTCTCCACCCTGTTGGAATTTTGGACACATACATCCATACAACTGGCCTGTTTCCCAAGCCACAGGGTTTAAGACTTGAACGACATAGCTAGCCATGTGGGATCCAACTCCCTTAACCACCACACCACTGGCTGGCCCTGCCCTTCCTTCCTTGAGTACTCAACTTACTCTCTTTATTTTGGGGTTCTTTTTTAAAATTTTATTTGATTATTATTATTTTTTAAACATTCAATCACTATACATCATTTAGCTTGTATAGAGAATTTACGCAACATGAAATAACACCTCAGACCAGTCCAGTTGAGACTACTACACACGTTATCATCAACTGGTAATAGACCATTGCTGTGTCCCACAAATGTCTTGCCTCTCTATTTTTTTCTCCCTGATTTCCTTCCCTATTGTCTTCCCCTCTCTCACTCTCCTTCTACTCAACTTGTTCTTTTTAAAAAGGAAGAGTCTGGGCCAGACAGTAGCGTGGTCGTTAAGGTAGTTGGTGTAATGGCTGTATCGCTGGACTCCCATGTAGTCTACTGCGGTTCGAGTCCCAGACCCAGTGGCCTAAACTCATGCCGGGCGCGTGTGCGTGTGTGCCCAAGATCCTGAGAGGAGAATGGAGGAGAAGGGATTACGGCGTGGCCATCTCCCCTGGGGGGTGATTTCTCACTTTCTGTCTCTCTGTCTCTCTGGTGAGTGCACACGCCCTATAACAAAAACCTCTCAAAAAAAGAAAAAGTTAAAGTAGTTGGATCTCACATGACTGACTGCACAGTTCACACCTCAGATCTAGTGGCTTGAAAAATATGTTGGACCAATGTGCATGTGTCCCCAAAATACCAAAAGGAAGGAGAAATGGAGGAGAAGGAATTGAGGCATGACCATTCCCCATGGGGATGGGGGCTGCTTTCTCATTCCTCTCTATGTCTCTCTCCAGGGACTGCACATGCCTTCAAGCAAAATTTTAAAAAGGGAGAGTGGTTGGGGCCAGCAGGTTACATGGAGGTTAAGGCAGGTGGATCCCACGCAGCTGACCTCATGGTTTGAGTCCCAAACCCAGCGGCTTGAAAATCATGCCAGGCGCATATATATGCATGCCCCGAATCCCAAGAGGACAGTGGAAGAGAAGGGTTTGTGGCATGGCCATCCGCCATAGAGGGTGATCTCTCACTTTCCCTCTCTTTGTCTCTCTCCAGTAAGCACATGTGCCCTATAGCAAACTAAAAAGCAATGGGGTGGTAGGGGACAGAGAAGAACTTTGTCTCCCTATAGATTCACTTTTTAGTCATCGTTGCTTGCTCACAGGCCTACTTGAGGTCTTGTTTTCTAAGTTCTCTTTTGTCTCCTTAGCTGTATAAAGAGTTTCTTTTCTTTCTTACTGTGGTAGTTTTCCCTGGCAATTTTCTGCCAGTGTTTAGTTCGCCTGGACCTGGATGTCATTTGAGGGCTTGAAGCCTTTTTGCCTCTGTCTAATCCAGATGCCATAGCTCAAAGTGAAAAACCCAACTTTGACCTAGAACAGAACCTTTGGATGTGTCATTTAGTTCCTTGAGTTGAGTCACTGTGAACATACTTTCTGTCTCTCCATCCTAAGTGTAGTTTACAAGGAAATACATACTCGCTCAGAATCGGGCTTGAAGCCTCTCCTCCTGTGTTTTATCCAGGCGCCCTATGCCGAGAGGGCAAAAACCCGACTTCGACCTGGAAGAAAACCCTTTGGATATGTTATTTAGTTCCTTGAGTTGAGTCACTGTGGGAAAGGACTTTATGTAATTGTATTCTGAATTACAGTTTATGAGGGAATACTCACTGAGTATTATTTATCAGATTTGGCAGTCTGCCCTCTTGAACTCCTCTCTGTGGAACATCTTCCTTCTCCAAGGGCAAGAAATGGAGGTTTCTGAGCCCAGTTTTGTTCAAGGATTAGATTGCCTTTCTTTTGATCCATGCATGCATTTACTTTATAAACCTTAGTTTTTAGATGACTAGGTGTGAATTCGCACAAATGTAAATTATTTAAAACAACTCAAAACTTCTCTCTACCCAAATGAATGGGTAGTCTTCCAGGTAACACAGGCCTGGGTTATTTCTTAACTTGCCCTTTGGTTTTCTAGGTACCCAGAGGTGACATCCTTTTTTTTATAGCTGAATTCTTGGTGACTAGAAGTAAGCTAATCGGCATTTTTTAGGTTTCAAAATAAGTCTTTCTTTTAAAAATAATTATTTCTGGGACCAGCAGTTAACGTAATGGCTATGTCGCTGGACTCCCATATAGTTGACCACGGTTCGAGTCCCGGACCTGGTGGCTTACGCTGGGCACATGTGCGTGTGTGCCCAAGATCCCGAGAGGAGAATGGAGGAGAAGGGATTGCGGTGTGGACATCCTCCTAGGGGATGATTTCTCGCCTTATGTCTCTCTGTCCCTCTCTCTTATTTCTGGCAAGCGCACAAAACCTCTCCAAAAAATAAAATAATAATTTCTTAATTTTAAAAATTTAATAGTAGTATTATTTTTTATAGCCAGAGAGAGACAGAGGTGGGGAGGGGTGAGAAAGCAAACCATCTGATCTGGGACTCAAACCATAGTCAGCCATGTGGAAGTCCAGTGCCTTAACCACCTGCATATGCTTATCAGAAACAGACAAACAGACAGCATGAAAAAGTGAAAAATCACCCCCATGGGTGTGTCTCTCCTCTTGGGATATTTGGTGTACATACACATGTTCCCAGCATGATTTTCAAGCTGGCAGGTCCTGTGGGAGTTCAGCACCTTAATGACTGTGCAACCTGCTGGCCCCAGTGTGTAGGCTTTCATATTCCACTCTCCTACCAAGCGCTGGCCCTCTTCTATGTCTTATATTCCCAACCCTAGATCCTCTCTGGTTGGGTTTATCTAGAGAATGTATGTTCTGTCCTTAGCAGGTGGGGTGCTTGCTCACTTTTCCCCTCTCTCTCTCTCTCTCTCTCTCTCTGTCGTGAACACATGTATCCTCTGACAAAATAAAATAAAAGATTCTTCCCCAGAGTTCTGGGAGAGTCACATCTACAAACATTAATCTTGCAATAACAGACCACTTTGGTCCAGTGATTACTGAGTGGGATGCTCCCTACATTCTGACCCTGCATTCTCCCTACGTTCTGGCATTGCTTCACATAATATGCGGTGAAGCCGTCTTCTCACTTTTTTTTTTTTTAATGTATTTATTTACATTCATTCACTGTACATCATTACAGTGTACAAAATGAGATTTTTCATCCAGAGTACACTATATACTGGCTCAATCAAGAATATTACCATACATGTCACTGTCAACAAATAATTTTCCATTTCTTGTTTCTTATATAGTGTGCTTTGTTCCCCCTGTGATTTCCTACCTCTTACCCTCTGACATTTCACACTCTCCTCCTACACTGTCTCTAGTAGCTACAGTTGCTTCCATGCCTTTTATTTTATTTTTTCACATTTTATTGATTCACTAAAGATCTTAATTAATCTAAATACTTTCAATAGCAAGCACAGCTGATATATACATATCTATGAACACATGTCTGACTTTAGGCATGAATCTCAATGAGTAGAATGAACATACTATAGGGACCAGCAGTTGATATAATGGCTATGTCGCTGGACTCCCTTGTAGTCAATTGCGGTTTGAGTACAGACCCAGTGGCTTAAACTCAAGCCAGGCATGCATGCATCCATGCCCAAGATCCAGAGAGGAGAATGGAGGAGAAGGGATTGTGTCATGGCCATCCCCTTTGAGGGGGTGATTTCTCTCTTTCTGTCTCTCTGTCTCTATCTTTCTGGTGAGCTCCAACACACAATAGCAAAAAGCTCTCCAAAAAAAAAAGATGAACATACTATAAAGTAGCACCTAGCTGAGACTACATAGCTTACTGCAGTCATTAGATAGGCATTTTTATTTTATTTTTTTTAAGAGGTTTTTGCTATAGGGCACGTGAGCTCACCAGACAGACAGAGTCAGAAAGAGAGAAATCACTCCCCGGGGGGATGGTCACACCACAGTCCCTTCTCCTCCATTCTCCT